GTTTTGGGTGTACTATTCCTTTAAGCTATTTTATACAGGCTCAGTTATATTCATACACACCAGTGAAATGTAAAACATTTTTGGCAAATGCTACATGTTCAACATCACCATCGATGAGCTTCGGGTCTTGTAAAAAGGAATGGCTTCAAACATGATCGACACCAAACCTACCTGCCAAACGCACCGTAGGTGTTGACGATCCTCAGCGGGTCGAAGGACGTGTTCATCACCTGCCTGGGGCTCAACAGGTTGATTACCACTGGGACACTCAGGCAGCCAATGAGAACCCCCAAAGAAATGTTCACCACCCGGCGGACCAGCATTCCTAACAAATGCACAGAGGAAGAATGGATTATGGAAATCCAGAAAGTGTCTTCTGGCTTCCTTTCTGGGAATAATGTTTATTGGTGTAAATGTTAACAGCCTGGCAGGATGCCACAGTCTGTGTTATTAGGAGTGTAAATCTCACTGGTGACGTGTTATTGGGTTGATATTCATCAGAGGATAAGGTTACCTCAAAGGATTGTGGGGATTTTAAAGACGTGGCCAAAGCTGTCTGTTCTTTCCAACCTGCCTGCTGTACTCCTGCATGCTAAGGAAATCTATATAAAGCAGTTTCTTTTTCTAACCAAAATCTCTCTTGGTCTGTTTTTAGTGATTAAAACAATGCAGAAACAAGCTTATTCTAAGCCCAGTTATGACACCAAAGATCAAATGAGTCCAGTTATAGAGGAGCCACCCTTTTATATTTCTAAAAGCTTAAGCTATTAAAAGATCTGTCCAAATGCTGATCCATTTTATCCCATAATTCATTCTCACTTATGACCACACCATCTGTTTTCTCAGGAATCTATTAAAGCTTATACTGATCCATTTTATACCTTCCTTACAATGATTTTAATCATCTACCTATGCTTAGAGGCTTTTCTATGTGGAAAAGATTGTGAAAATAGTAAAACAACCATAAAATAATGTGGCACTAAACGAAAAGCCAATGTAGGTAAGAGAGGAAAGAGAAAAGGGTTTTTTTTCCCCTGAGCTATAATCATCACTATTACATTCTTTAAACCTCCAGCCTGCTTCTGCTGGAGGTTTCTTCCTGTTAAAAGCGGATTTCTCCTCTCCACAGTCACTGCATACTTGCTCTGTGTGAGGGACTACAGTATAGTGAATGTTTACTGTCGCCACATGTTCATCCAGGAGGAGCAAATCCTGCAAAGACAATGAGCCTCATGCAAAAACCGTTTTTACCAACAAATTCGCTCCTAAATCAATTGTAGGAGAGATTTAGTAGAAAGTGCCCCTTTTTTCCCCATTTCTATTCTTTTCTCAGGTACAAACAAATTTCATGAGTGCTCCAGACTTGACGTAAGAGTCTTATGCAATACTCAGCTGTAATCCTGACTTAGATTTTCAATAAATTACTACATTTGTTGTAACAATTGACCATTTTTAGTCTACATCATTATATATTATCCAACAAATTATAATAATTATTTTCTTTTTTCCCCACGGATGACGGAACTATCAGTTTTTACTCTTGCAGTTGGAGGTCCAGGGGACACGGATTTTAATTTGTTTCGTTAAAAGAACAAGGAGTCAGAGATGCTACAGTTGAAAAAACATCTGGAACAGTTTAGCAACATGGTAAGAATCGCATTCAATTCACTCCATTGCAGCTCATTTTGGTTTTTAATAGAATATGGAACGTCTGGGTTTGTCTGAATGAATCAAATTAAGAGTTTTGTGAGAGAGATGGAGTGAGATGCAGGGATGAGTCCATGTGTGTCTGTGTATTAACAGGAGACTTTGCAGAATGTTGGTTGATGGAGAACTGATACTAAGTATTTACATCACCTCTTGCCTCAATCGGTAGTTATCATGGACTGTTTTCGGATCAAATTATTTTAATTTTTATATTATTGTATCTATTGATTTATTTAGTTTTTGCTTCTGCAATAGTACAAACCGGTTTATTTCACTGTTTCACTTTTATTGGTCCTTAAATTCTGCTGCTCAGCTCTCAGTCAGTAGATAGATGATTGAATACCTCTGATAAGTGCTGGAAGTCGTAACCTTCCCACTTATAAGTAGCCTTAAAGGGCATTATCTGGCGGTAATTATACAGATATGCATTGGTCAGGGCGCACGCTGATTTACTCACAGGGGGAGCGTTGGCCTAGTGATTAGAGCAGTGCCATTGTGCTCTGAGAAGGTAGCAAGTACCCGGTTCGATCCCCACAGCCTGGGTCCCTGAGCAAGACTCTTAACCCCACACTGCTCCCTGGGGGCCACACAGTGGCAGCCCACTGCTCCTCAAGGGTTGGGGTGCATTGGGCTGTTTCAGGATTTTTTTTTTCTTGAAATGTAGATCTTTTGATCTTTCTATGAAAAACGTGAACATAAGCTAACTGATAGGTCAGTGTTTTAAAAAAAAAAGGCTTTTTGACTATTTTATTTAAGTTTAAGTTATGTTCCTAAATACCAGTTTTAAAAGGCTGCTTTTACTTGCCTTGCACATTTAAACCTGACTTAACTTGATATTTGTTTGCACTTAAAGGGAATTCCCTATTGTTTCCAATTGTTCTGGTTACTTCTTAACTTGAACATTGCAGAGAAGAATCATCAGCATATTGATGTTCATGGCTACAACTTGCACTTTAAAAGCACTATGTGATCAGCGTTTTATGTTGTAATGATCCATAAATACAATAATAAATTGCCTGTTGACTGGCAAAAGCAGAAAAACTGTCTGTATTTTTTTGCTATTATCATCACAAACACTATCGTGAGCTATTTAACAGTACAGTGAGCTTTTCCACAATATCGCAATAAATATCGTACCGTGAGGTCAATATCGAAATTGTATCGTACCGTGAGCATTTTTATATCATTACATCCCTACTCACAACATCAATTAAAAATGTTGGACTATAAAATGTATGAGATAACATTTATTTGATTTAGTTGTGATTTTTTTGTCAATTAATAGTTAAATAGGAAACGCGGGGAAACATGAATGGAGCGAGCTGTTACATTCACAGCTGGGAAACAGAGATAATTTAACAGCCAGTTAAATAAGACAATGCAAATGTATCGGTCACATGGTTAAATTAAATGCTGTGTGTCCCAGGGCCCTGGCTTAATTACATGAAGGAAAAATGTCAGAAAATGCCTTCTCCTGAAAATTTGAGCTAGCGTGGAGCAATTTCGCCGGAGCGGCAGGAAATTAAAGGTGAGCGTGGAGTGGATTTTGATCGGAGCGTCCTGGCGCAACTTTGAGCAGTGGAGCGAACGAGCGAACATCATCCTGAGCGGGGGGCAGGAGTTTGTTCACATGCTCTGATGCAGAGAGTCTTTTCCTCCGTGTGAGATCAATAAAGATCAATTATTATCATTATTATTGCATCATGTTTATGAGGATCATTTACTGGAGTTAACAATGTTTGTGGAATCTGACATGTTTTGTTCATAAAAAATAATGAGAGAAATGTTATGAGAAATTTACACCAAGAATATGAAAATATTGTTGCATGAGGACCAATGACTCAATGCCTTTTATATTCTGATTGAACTATCACTGTAAAGGGCCTTGAGATGATGTGTTGGGAAATGGCGCTATATAAATACACTGAATTGAACCTCCTTTATCCTCTTGTCTAATTGGCCAGCCCTCATTCTTACAGTATGTTATAATACCGATTTAGAAAGCTTGTTTGGATTTTTGAAAGGGATAATTTGTGGAGAGAGAAATAAAAAAGAAATGTTAAGAAACCTTTTGAGGGTTTGGGGGCTTTTCCGGTCGCCTCCTTCCTCTGGATCTCCATCACTGCTTTTTTAGCTCCAGAGCCGAAGCGAAAGAGAAAGCTCAGCGATGCATCATCAAAGCACGCCAAACTAGGGACAATGGTCAGCCAGTTAAGAAAACTGAGGTTCCCACTGATGATCAAAACCACCTGCAGGTCAAAGCCAATAAAAAAGCAAAAGCCACAGAGCAGAAGGCACAACATGCTGTTAGAACATTACAACAAAGGCATTGTTTTTTAATTTGTCAGTTTTAATGTGAGCTACCTGAAAAAGAATCTGGATTGCTCCGTTAAACGAACACATGCGTCTTCCAAGGAAGGTGAAGAAGGGAGCGATGAGCTCGATGAAGTGGTTGGATAGTGTCTCGAAGCGGTGGAACCACCAGGGAGAGCGGTGCATGTAGTAGGACATGGGGTTTGGTACCGGCTGGGTCTGGAGAAATACACCAGGAATTCCATTAATCTGGTGACCAGAATCGGTTCATTTTAAACTGGATTGGCTCTGATCGGTGATAAACTTATTAAAACCAAAAAATATTTTAAAAATCCTAAAAGATGAATTGAGGGAAGGCATCAGAGCTGGGGTGAGGCATCACTCCCTTACCTCCTGCGCTGGATATAAGGGAGGATGATGAACAGCCTTCTAGGGCCAAATTAAAAAGGCCTTAAAATCGCTTAACTGCATTCACTACAGTTTTGTTCTCTATATTCCATTATAACAGAAAAAAAGCTTAAGTCTCCGCTGCACTTCTTCAGCCTACATCACAACCAGTACCTGATTGGTTCCCGCAATGCAATTTTATGGAAAAAAGTTAAAAAATTTTTAGCTTCAGCAGACACTGCTGCGCTCTCTCCATGCAACGCTGCTTATTGACAGCACCTCATTTCTGTCAAGCACCACACGGTCAACGGAGTGGTGACTTCTCATTTAATTTTACTGAGACGTCGGTAATCTAGAGTGGGATCCCCCCAGTTATCCAGGATGGCACCATAGGATTGGTGTGTATCGGGCAGAGTTAAATTGCATATCGGGCAGAGTTAAATGACCTGTAGATAATGGGAAAGGTTTTGCAGTTCTATCGTAGTAGAACAAAAGGCAAGGTTTCCAGGGAATTGTCAACTGCCCAAGGAGAAATTTTTGATCAAATGCTAACAGCTTTAAAGATAATTAGAAATCAAATACTGGAAAATTAGCTCAAGCAAAGTCCTCTTGTTCTCCATAAAAAAAAAATCAAATAAATAAATGTAATCTAACAAAAACTTCCAACTGTTTTTAATATTCTTTTTTTGCTTCTGCATTTTTTTATTTTATTTTTTTTATTTATTTATTTTTTCCTACTTGCTTTGATTCTGTTTTATCTTCCTGTATTTTAATCATGTAAAGCACTTTGCATTGTCTTTGTACTGAATTTTTTGCTATACAAATAAATTTGCCTTGCCTTGCCTTGCCTTCTCTCACCACGTGGAATTCACCGCTGGCCCCTTCACTGCTGTTTTTCGCGTGGTTTGCATAAAGATACTATGTATATCCACCGCTCTTGCCACGAACACTGTGTGCGGCGTCCTGTACCTTTAGACTGCTGGAGGACGTAGGGACCCCTTTTCATCATTTTGCTTAATTTTATTTCTACTTTCCAATTTTGCATAAAGTGTTAGTTCAACCCAGGTCACAGTGACGCGTTCAAGGTTTTATTTTTACATGATTAAGTACAGATGGAATTCCGTTGGTACCCAGTGTTGGGCAGTTGCACCATTACTAGCTTAACTACATTTCTCAGTAGCGTGGTCGTAGCATTGCTGTCTTCTACATCAAATAGCATTTTGGTAGTGAGGCTAAAGACACTTCAAGCTACTTTTTCACAGACATTTCTAGACCTTAAACGTATTCCTCCTCCTCTTTTGACACAGAATTCGTAGGAGTATAGCAGCCGTTTAAAGTTGTGTTCATCCTGGTTTCCGCCTTAGACTGTGTGTAAAATGATTCCCACGAGAATTGTCTTCAGCTGGTGTAGGTGGATGAGCTGGAGACAATGGAGGGGGACGAGGAAGAGGCTTTTTATGTCCAACTCAAATTGGAGCAAAAACATGCTGCTACATTTAGGTATTTGCTGAAGTTAAATCCATCAGCTAAGCTGATCATCACAACTCAGCCAGCAAACATCACCAGCTAACATAGTTTAAGCCAAAAACATTTCCTTAAGAAACAAAATAATAACCTTTTGTAAGGTATGTGTTTGTGTGTCTGTGCACCTATACAGCCCTCAGAGTGAGGACCATTTTTCCTATTTCACCATCAGATTAAGGCCCAGTTGTTGCAAAGTGAGGACATTTTGCTAGTCCTCACAAGCTGTTATGCTAATCGTTAGGTTTAGGGCTAAGGTGTCAATTAGGTTAGGGTGAGATATGCATTGGTAATGGTTAGGTTTAGGGTTGGGGCATAGAAAGGGTTGAAAATGACTGAAAATGAATGGAAGTCAACACATGGAAAGCATTCATGCAGGAAAAGTTAGGAACAATTTGTGCAGGTTTTTTTTTACAAAACAAAATTGCAGTTCATTTTAACAGATATATGTGTGGATGGCAGTAGTACAAAATGGGGCTAATAAATATTCTGCTTAACACAGACCATAGCAAGACTGCATAATCCGAGAATGAACAAGTTACTATAGCCACTATAAATTAATCAAATCAAAACACAATGAGGTAGATCGAAGATGTCATTAAAACTTTAGACTAATTTACACTAACTTGACTGACTCACTGACAGTTGCTGTATTATGCTACGTTCACACCACAAGCGCTTCGGGCAGGAGAAGCAGCAGGTTTACATGCAAAATCTATGGTTGACGCGCATCAAAAGGTCCTGCAGCGTGTCTCAAGCAGCAGGAGCAGCGAATCTCAACGCATCTGAGCAGCTGAAGCGGCGCCTCATGAGTTTCTGAGCATCTGAGGCGCTTCATAAGCAGCAGATGCTATAGTTGGAAAAATTGAAAATTTGCTGCTCGACGCGCAACATCAACCAATCAGAGAAGCTGATCTGGGAGCTGGCAGGGAGACAGACACAGCACTGCTGATGCAGATTGCTATGATCACTTCACTGAAACAGTTTATTAACACCTAAATTAACTTAAAATGTTGAAACCTGCTGGCAAAAATATATTTGCTTTTATTATTCTGGTGGTTGCAGTTTGTAGCACATACCTGAAAAACACTAACATCCAGTCGCACGAAAAACAGGGAAAACCCCCAAGAGGCGGCTGGACTGAAGCAGCTGCTGCTGGGGATTCCCAGTGACAGCGCACCGCCGGTATGTGGGGGCCTGAGCGGCTCCGACAGGGAAATAATATTTGAAGGCAGGATGGTAATCTTAATAAACTGACTGTATAGACTATGTTTTTAGGTCGACTTTCTCCCTTGAAAATATATTAAAATGACTTTTTACCCACTGATCACAGTAAATATAGCAAAGCTGCTTCACCAGACACGCTTAAGGAGCATCAAAGATGCTCTTAAGGTGCATCTGATCTTGTGTACAATGTGTACAAGCATAAAAAATGAAGCAGCAGATGCTTTTTTTACTGCTGAAATCGCGTACGATCTGAATGAAGCATTAGTCTGAGACATTTATTGTTGTGATTGGAGAATGTATGATGATGCAAAGATCTTAGAATTGACCAATCATTTATACCTGAGTAATAAAGTTAGATTTGAAATTTGAACGTAAGTATTAGTTTTGTTGAGAGAAAGAGTTTGATAAAACATATAATTGATGTGATCCATTTGTCACCGTTTCAGCTATGATTAGACTGCAGTAACATGGAATAAATAATGAATTGAACTTTATTGATCTCAGTTTGGAGAATTTTAGCTCTGCATTTAACCCATCCCCTTGGGGAGCAGTGGGCTACCACCATGGGGTGCCCAGGGAGCAGTGTGGGGTTAAGGGTCTTGCTCAGAGACCCAGAGTGGCAGTCAGTGGGAGTGGAGCTCGAACCCAGAACCTCAGGAGTCTAAGCTATATGCCCTAACCACTAGGTTGCCACTACCCTTTTTTTTTTTTTTATATATTTTTTTTAATAAGGAAATTTACTTTAAAAAAAAAGAAGAGGCTTTGATGTAGTTAATCTAATTTTTTCATTATTTTAGCTTAGCTTCCTACATTTTTCTGGTGCATAGCTTCAGTGTAATGAAACTTGATTTAATGTAAAACTTGTAGCTTAACTGACATTTTCTAAGTCGCTTGCCCAACACTGTTGGTACCAATAAACCCATTTCTAACCAAGACAAACGCCTGACGCTCACACTGTTTAAAATGTTGACTCTTAATATTTTGTCTTGGATTGAGGATGGTAACAATAATCCTCATTTCCTGCAGAATTGTGCAATACAGTGTGACATCGCCTCTGGCTCTGAATAATCAATGGTAATCCTCAAAAGGGCTACTGAAAACTTGGGGAAGAAAATATCTAGATTGTACACAGGATTGGAAAATTTGAAGAAAAGCAATAAAATATACATACAAGTATGATGCGAAAAAGATGCTAACTGTGGACTTTCTCAGGAGAACTGGGAGGAGATATGTAGGCAACAGTTGAGAACATCTTGTTCCCCTTTGTGGAGAGAGTTTGGCTGGAAGAATATTGTAAGATATTTCAGTACACCGGCACAAACAAAATACCGAGATACCAAATGTTGGAGGCAGGGCGGAGAGGACAGAGCAGGCCACTTCCATGTGTTTTGGGTTCTTTAAATCCTATTGGCAGGATTTAAAGAGTCATATGGATAAGGTACTGGGGGTGAGTATTCCGTTCACATTTGAGGATCTGTACATGGGGAGAGGGATGGAAAGATTAACAAGAGCAGCTGATAAATATATTTATAGTATTATGTTGGTAGCAAGCAAAAAAGCATTACTAGGAAATGGCTGAAGGCAGAAGCTGCCAAAAAAGGGAAGATTGGGTTGAAATAATACATAATATTTATATTATGGAAAGGCTGACTTTTTCCATCAGATTTAAATCTGGAAAATGTAAAAATCATTGGGAAAATTGGCGAGGTTTTATTTCACCATGGAGATCAGACTTTGTTGGTTAATAGTGTGGGTTTGGGTACTCTTATAGAGTTACACACTGTAAATAGTTTGCTTACAGTTCAATACATGTACAGAATATGTGTGCAAATTCTGTTGGATGTTGTGTTTGGAAAGAAAAAAACAAACAAACTGTAAAATCGGTATGTATACTTGTATGGGAAAAAATATTTTCAATAAAAGTGCAAATATCAAAAAAAAAAAAAAAGGGCTACTGAAGGCTTCCTCATAAAATAAATGATACTAGAGGAAATAAGAGTTATTGAGCTGTAATCTGTCCTATAAAAGAAAGGGTTAAATTCAGATGTTAGTTTCATTTGCTCAAATATCCCTGAGTTTTAACTAGAAAGGTTTACTAAGGTTTTTAGTTAGGTGTTCTCTTTAACTCGTTAAATTTGATACATTTAGCTTGTGAGGGCTTCTGATGGACAGATGGTAATTTTCCCTGCTTTACTTTGGCACTGGTCTCAGTGTGGGTCCAGGGAGTAATTTCTGCTCCACACCTAGTGGGGAACGTTTCCAAGACTAAATAAAGATGGAACTTTATTTAAATGAAGGTGGGTGCACCTTTACATAGGAAAACATTGGTTTCTCAGTGTTTATCCATGCAAACTGTGTAATGGCTGGACAGGCAAACAGACTCTGGTTGGGTGGGGAAAAATAAATATAGCACAAATATAGGAGGAGCAAAGGAAAAAAAAATAAGGTGGTAAGCAACAGATCAATTCTTCTGTTGTATTCTATAATGAAACGCAGAAAAAAAAAACTGGATTTTTTGACAGGTGGGGAACCAAAATCTCAGTCGAACAAAGCGCCCCACATGGCCTGCTAATTGCCTGTGCTGCGACAAACCAACCGGTCTGAACAAAGTGCCAACTGTCCTGCAATGCACTGCCACGGTCCCCTGAGATTCAGGACAGGAGGAAACCTGCAGACCTTCTGCAGGACTGAAAGGGAGCAATGTTTAAGAGGGGCTAACACGGCGTCTGCTGGCGCCATGGCCTTCCGCTCTCAGAATGCGTTTGCATGCAAGTGTGTGTGCTTGTGTGTGTAAGTCAACATTAGCGCTGAGAGTGTTGACAGCTGAATTTGGAGAAGGGAAACTGACCCAGCAAGGTATAAGCTCCATAAAGCATCATCAGCAAACATCATTTGCCTTTCAGATTTAAAATGAGAATCATTTTCTTTCACCTAGAAAGAAACTCAGAAACCAGGTTAAAAGTTGAAATATTACACAACACTGCAGCTAGGTAACACCAACAAACAATGTGTGGACCAATATGTAAAGATGCAGCTTTATCTGCATTTTTCAAAGCATTTCTGTGGAACAGAATAAGATTGCAATTCTAAACTCAATTCCAATGTCTCATTAATGTAAAGTTAATCTGAAGTTCTTTCTTCCTCATTGGGTGGAACAGGGTGATATTAACACATTTTTATAATAAATAAAGCCTTGCAAAAGTCAAGTTTTGGGTATTTTTAATTCCTACAAAATAAATCTAATGAACCCATCTAATAAACCAACTATCCTCCATATTGTTATGGGTGATACCATCACTTTGTCCTTGTGGAGATCTTCCCCAGTCATGTGTTTAGACTGGAGCCTTTAAAATAACTACAGAAGGAATTCCTCCGCCTCCCTCTGAGGGTTTGTAGCACATATCAGTGAGGCTCAGAGACACAATCACTGCCTGACGTTCCAACCCAGCACAAATGAGAGATGTGTGGGTGTAACTTATTACACTCTGGGAAGATTCTATGTCTGTTTTATTTGTCTGCACTTTACAAAAAAAAATTAAGCACAAAAACAAAATTGATTTAATTACGTAATTACTTTAATTAGTAAAAGCAGGCGTTTAAGAATCACCATCACATTAATCACTGCAGTACAGTGACAGTCAGTGGAATGAAGCCAGCAAATAAAGACTGACCTCATAGTGGTAGTCCATGCAGGTCAGGTCTCTCCAACACTTGTCTCCTCTGATTTTAATGAGACCCTAAAACAAACAAAAAAGAAAAACATCCTGAAATTAATCATTTAATTGCTTTTGAACTTTACATTATTCAACTGTCACTGATAAAAGGAGTTGGTAATAAAAAGTAAATAGTTTAACAGTTTAAATATGAAAAACTAAAGTCACAAGAACAAACACAGTCAATCACCGCTGCGGTCAGGGTTTATACAGGAAGGAGGAACTCTAATTTAATGCTTTTTAATGCTCTTAAAATAATTTTAATGCCATTAATAAGTAAAGTACCCATTACTCTCATATATATATATATGTGTGTGTGTGTGTGTGTGTAAACAATGCATATGGTTTAGGATCAACCAGTACCAGTTCCATGCAAACATGTGGAACCAGTTAAATCTGATATATTTGATATATATATATATATATATATATATATATATATACATTTTTTAATAAAAGCATTTTAAATGCCATGATAATCACATTTAATAAAGTTTAATGCCAATTAAGGCTTTAATTTAAAAAATAATAATTTAATGATTTTTAATGACCCGTAGAAACCCTGGCAGTAACACTGCAGTAATATTTAATTTAGAGGAATAGGTGCGGCCTCAGGCACCCATGATGGAAACGATCAAGTTCATCAGTTGGATCAGGCAGAATGCTTCAAAAACCCAAACTGTTCAGGGTTATGTTTAATTGAACGTTGCAATATGGTGAAGCAAAGAGTAGGGTCCAAATTTTACAGAAGAGTTCTTTACATGAACAAAGAAAAAATAGAAGCTGTCAACAACTGTCACCGTGTTCAAGAAGAAACAGGAGATACAGACTTTTGACTGGAGGTCAAGGACCTGAATGAGAACTTGATGGCAGGGGGACGAATAGTGAAGTATACATAGGAAAAAAAAAACACTATTCTTTTTGTGAAACAAGATGACTTTGCTCCAAAAGAGAGTCTGTAATAAATCTTGAAAAATGTTAATCCACGCCACACCGGAAGAGGGACAGTCAGGAACTAAATGTGGGTCTAGATACGGCCGAGGCGGTGAGGAAATGGGGGCAAGTTTGTGCGAAAACGGAGGAACATAAGGGTGAAAAAAAGCGGGGATCCAGGTGGAAAAAGGGTCCCAGCGTTCTCGTGCGCCTCGCTCTTCTAGCTGGTCCATCTTCACGAGTCATTTTCCACAGTAGAGAAAGAAATGATATCTACAACTAAAAACAAAGCAAGAATGCCACAGTAAAAACAAACAACTACCTATTCATTTATATTGGTCATCTTTATGAAAGCCCCATAAAGTTTAGAACTGATTTTTATTTAAAGCTTCACTGAGATGACTACCAGACAAATCCCAAGCTTTAGCACGTACCCACCAAGATAAAACAATGTTGTCTGTAGCCACATCAGAAGGGAGATAAATAGATTCCACTGTAAAATGAAGGACATTTCATTGCTCTGGGCAAAAAAAACCTACAAATCCACTGAAACTCAGACAGATTCACTGATTAAATCTAATCTGACATAGATGTAGCTGATCTAACATCTGCAAAATCGGCAATCCCAGATGTGCAGCCGCTTGAGTCAATCTAAATGAACAAATCAGAGCTTCATTCTGAACCCAATTACCACAAACCCGGAAAAAAACCTGACCTGACTTGGGTGGCTGTTTTTCAACGCAGCTAAGGAAAAAGTTTATCCAAAACACAAGACTGTCAATATTGACACATCTGGCATGGAATGCAAGTAAAGCGTCTACATACCTGTTTAATTTAATCTAGGAAAAAAACAGAGCATCTGTTTGATCTGCAGCTTGGCGGTAAAGGTGGTGGAGCCAAATACTCTGCTGCTGATCAGATTTAGTCATTAGATGCAGAACAAAAATAAACTGACAGGAAGCAACAGGTAGAGAGCTTCCACAGATATCCTCTAATGGTTAGCATAAGGGAAAGAGTTACATGTCATCAGATTACCAGGCAATAAAAGAAATAATCTGGTAGGTTAATTAATCTTTCACAAAATTAGACATGTGATACTAACAGGGTAAGTCTGCAGACATGCTCTGAAAAAAAAGCTGTTTTTAGATTACATACTTTTGCAGAAGACCAGCATTGGGCATCATCCTGCAAACACAAGGTGTAGGTGGCAGCATCATTTCCTTCCAAGAGAAACAGAAAGTCTGTCTGTGTGGAGGGAAAGCGGATAACACTAAAGACAGCGTGATGGTGACAGAAAAACAGTTAAAGCCTACAGAAGACTGAGGTGGAGATATTACTGATGCACCATCCTCATCTGTCAGCATGTCAGGAATCATGAAAAACAAGCTTGTCACCTTCCAGAGCAATCTGCCTTCCAACAGTAGCCCCATCTTCAAAGGAACAACAAATCTTCACAGAAACAGCAGCAAATGAGATAAACGGCTGCATTTATACAATGTGCCGCAGTTCATTCATAATAAAACAGCCAATGTTGCAGCTCGGAGTATTGATCTGACTGATATTAATGTGATATGATATCAGCATGAATGCTACATATTTTTATTGCTTTTTTAAAAGTATGGAATGATAGAAAAGGTTTGATTACATGATATTTCTCAGAGATAGTCAACATCAAGTATGAGAACATTTCTTATTCACCTCACAGTTCCATAAACTTTAAACAAAGCAATGTGTTTCTATGAGCTTTCTATCTAGATTTTAGAGGCAGGCAGACATTTTCCTGTATTCATTTCTGGCTAATATGTGACAAGTTTCCCATATCAATATCTGACCGGTACATCCCCAGTTACAAGGATTTTATAAGGTCCCTTATTGCTTTGTTCAGCCAACTTTAACTTCAGTTGCAGCAACAAGTTTTTAGGGGATTGTCTCTAAAATTTGGGCATTAAATTGTTTCTTTAAAATATCTCACAGAGCTTAGAGGATGTCCAACAGAAGTTTTCATATCTTCCCACTGCTCTTCACTAGTGTCTGAACCTATAGGCCCATTTTAACTAACTGCTGCATTTTCCTATCAACAATCTGCAAAAAAAAAAAAAAAGCATTCCTACAGCATGATGCTGGTGGAGAGGCCATCTCCATAGTAGCATGCAGCATTTCCCACCACACACATCTCTGAGAAAACATGTGCAAGACGATTTAAATTTCCATTGACTTTTAAATGTTTGAAACTAAATTCTGAATGTAAGATTCACGTTTATTTATCACTTCCACTGAAGGTATAACAACAAAAACAGGTCAAGCTATGAACTCCTACATCAATTGATCTGTAATAACAAAACAGATGCCAGAAAGAACACATAATCTGGATCAACCTGCTGCTTTTCAAGCAAAGCTAAACATCTCTTGGATCTTACCTGATCTGAAAATTCAACAAAAATAGGAAATATGTAGATAAAGAGATGACATTTTGCAAATGTTAATATTATAGCAAGTGTCCTCTTTGGTCCAGAGTCCTAAGAACATACCAAACATATTTTGAGTATTTCATAGTGAGCAAGCTTGCTACAGAACCTTTGCTACCATCGCATTCTCCTGCTGATGTAACAAACCGTTCCACTCTATCACTGAAGATATGAACAAACAAAGACCTGACACTTTGTGGTTTTCATTGAAATCTGCTGCAAACAATGTAGATATTCTTGCATAGCATCCCCAGAAATGCACGAAATATGACAGGAGAGAAGGAACTGGGAGAAAGCAGGTCTTTCTATGGAAGCGTAAAGGCTTAGATGAGTTTCTATGAGAGGCAGGTTCTGTGTTACAGCAAACCTCCTGCTGGGAGGAGGTCCCCTCAACTGGTAGCTTTCATATAAAACCCAACTCTGTGCTCTATAACTCACCATGATCGCTGACATACAAGAAGGTGTTTTATAAAAAGGCATCAGTTTAAAGAAATAGTGAAAAAATAGCAGAATAAACCAGGGATCCATGCTGCTAAAGGCGGGTTTTATTTTTTTTCAAATTGGTTTCCTGAGTGTGGAGTTTCCTTAACAGACCTAAGACCTAATCATTTAATTTCAAATTAAAGTTTTAAATATTTCAAAAAGTATTGATATATAGATTTTAGATTTCCAAGATAAATATTTAATCTTAATCATTTTTCATCAGATTGGTGTATTGCAAGAATGTTCAATCCTTGACTCTTGTTAAAAGTTGTAAATGCATAGTAGCCTCTCTGCAATACAGAAGTATGGGACGGTCCAGGGAGCAGCTAAGCAGCAACCTGAGGTGACAGGAAGTGTATTTGCTCACTACCTCCCACCACAGCGCAGGCGTTTTGCAGGTGATTGACAGGTTCAGTTGTGGGAGTTGAAGACGCATTGGAGAGAGAAATACATGGAGCAAGAAACGTCTTTTTCCAGGACCTGGTTTAGCTACAAGGCTTGGCTAACTGCAACCCGGATGTGCATCTGTTTGCGCATGCGCAGGACGGATCGGGTAGTGACAAGCTGCCAGTGTGGGTCCTTAGGCAAGACCCTTCACGCTAATGCCTGCTTTGGGGAGTGGCGCCCTAGTGGTTAGGGCATAGAGCTCAGGAATCTGGAGGTTCAACCCCCCACGAACACAGACTGCCACTCCCTGAGCAAGAACCTTAACCCCCGCACTGTACCCCGGGCACCACATAATGGCAGCGCACTGCTCCCCATGGGGATGGGATAAAATTATTTCGTTGGTGTTTACTTGTGACAGTGTAATGGCAAAAAAATCAAATAAAAAATACACAAACACGTTTCCAGTTTTTTTGTTTTTTTCAAAAAAACATTTAAGTATGTTTGCAGTGAGGTGTGCTCTATAGTCCAGAAGATACAGTAATTTGATATTTCTCTGTGCAGTTTATAGGTTTCAAATCACTGTAAGGCTTTTTTAACTCATTCCATTCAACAGGACTGCTGTGCATGTGGTGCATTTCCCCCTCAGCAGATTTCCCTCTGTCTGATTTTACTCACAGCTCCTAGCATGATGCGAACGATGAGCCACCTGAAGGTCCAGATGCAGATGAGGGAGGGGGGACAGTTATGGGGAACCTGGGACAGGGTCCACACCGGACACAGGAAAATGGCCAGAAATCCTGTCTCCAGCAGCTGGCTCTCCCAGCCTGCACACACAAACACATTAGCAGAGGGAAGCAGAGTAAACAATGCTGCCCAGCATTGGCTGTGATGTCATATTTATAATGCAAGTGGTGGAGAAATTAACCGCAGTGTCATTCTGTGGTATTTATTTTCATGCTGAAATCTTTCTTTGTTTTCCACTTAGGACGGAGAGCAGAGCTACTTAAGCAAACATGTTCATGTTTGTGTTATTTCTTTGGTTCAGCTGCGCCCACAGCTGCTGACTCAAAGGTTGGCAGTTTCCACTCCTCCACCAAATGAGTGGACAGAGCTCTGGTTTGATCAAAAACAGCAGCAAAAAGGTTGGGATCATTTCCCACCCACAATTTAAACAGCTATTGAATGGGACTTTAACGTCGTTCCATCCATCCATTTATTCTTACCTGGAAAAAAAATGTCTGTTAAATGACATAAGAACGCTAATATGATTTAATAGATAAAGGTTTACACTCGTACAACTGGCTAAATATTTGGTAGGTAATAGAAAATGTGAGCTGGTTTAAAAGACAGATTAAAAGTAGGAATATTAAAAGTATCTTTTTTATGATTTAAAAGTTTTTGTTCTTTTTTTATACATGGATTTTTTTTTGTCATAAAGCTGTTTAGATTTAGGTAAATAAATAAAAAGAAGGTCCAAAATTACATCAACACCTCTCTCCTTATTCTTCCAATCCGCATCTTCTTTTGGACCAAAGAGAGGCCTGGTGAAGGTAGCATGATGTTTACTTACCAAACGAGTACCTGGAGAAACAAAAAGGGAAACAAGAGAATTTATTTTTACAATGGAAAATGTCTAAATATTCAGACATAGCTTAAAATAACTGATTTCTTTTCTTAAGATGTAATGGATTAATTACATTGGGATATTAGGGCCAAATTAAGAAACATTACTTTTTATAATGTCGAGACATAAAAAAATGAAAAGAAATTATTTTATGTCTACCAGAATAAAATAATGTTATGAGGGAAAAGTGGTAATATTAGAGAATTAAGTTATGAGATTAATCAAATGAATTCTTCTTATTATGAGAGTGTCATATTCAGTAGCAGCCTGCTATTATGTAAACTCTTACGGCTGCTCTTTGGATGTAAACCGCTTTCTCATTGGTTGACAGCAACAGTTGGATCACAACGCTACGAAGAAGAGCTGCTGTGATTGGTTTATTCACGTCTGCATCGAGTTCTGCTTAATTAAGCTGGTAAAGCAAAAAGAAAATGCAATTTAAAAAAGGCTTTGAAAATGATAGATTAAAAGAAAAAGAAATCCCCTTTTTAAATGTCTGATAATAATCAGATTTATAAATTTAGTTGTTTTTTTTTATCTCCATTTAGAAATATATTTTCAAATTCCAGTATTTGATAATGGTTTAATACATAAAATGTACAATTATGCTTTTAATAATTCAATTTAAAATGGTCAATTCTCAAATTGCATAATTTAAAAGCTGGTATTGTTTTTGAGTGATTCTCCTTTCTTAACACTCAGACTGAAGGTTGGTTGAGGGGATGACATCACATCCTGAAAATGTCATTAAAGTTTTCTCTCTTGATTAAAACAACTTGTTCTTGGAATATTACGACTTTACTCTCATAAGCTCTCATTTAACCTACTTATTCTCTTCATAAAAAGAAAATAGTGTCTTAGTCTGGCATTAATTCTCTGTCCAACTCACTGTATGCGCATCCTGCAAATAAAGCTCCACAGTTTAAAAGTATCTTAGGCTAAAATTTCCTACATAATCAAAGTCTATCAATTTATTTAGTTGCATTTTATTCAATGATCTCTCATCCTGTTAATTCTCCATCATTCAGACACTGACCTTATTGGATAAAACAAAACTGCAGCTTTAGGAGGATAAACTATGTGTTGCCTAGTTGGATGTCGTCTGTCGTTTTGCTGTTAGATGACAATAAATCACGACATTTCGTACGGTTCCAAGTTAATTACATAATCCATAAAACCTATTTTATGGAACTATGAAATATTTTTAAAGCAGGAAGTTTTCATTTATGAGAACATTTTCATGAACAGGATGTTATAGCTTAAAAAAAAAAACAAATACCGGATGAGATGAAGTCTGTGATTAGAATTCCATTCAAATATACTTTATTAATCCCTAAAGGAGATTAGATTTTGTAAAATGAATCTATCTTAATTAAATGCTGTCATAAGTTGTTGTTGTTTTTTTGCCCAGGCCACTAGAGGCAGCAGTATTTCTGTGTAGTTTAAGCTTAAAAGATTTAATCAGCTTCTATTTAGAGTCAGGTTAACTCTTAGATTTGTTTTTCCAGCTCATCCATGCTGTGTATAAACCTACCACAGCTGTCCTACGCTGACCAGAGAGTGGTAAAGCACCCAGAGCGTCCCCATGATGAGCATATTGGCCGTTCCTGTCACCAGGACAAACCCTGACAGCGCCATCCCCAGCAAGGCAATGCAATCCAGGTTGGTGTCCATGCTGCTCCAATCTAAGAACCAGAGGATGGAAGGGGTGTAGGCTAAGGCCGCTGTGCCGATCTTTCCACCTACGTAGCGTTTGACACTGTTCAGGTAGCTCTTGCAGGGCATCAGGCCGTTCTCCCCAATCAGCTGCTTGTTCTGGTTGTAAGCAACAATGAAGGCCACAACTACAAAAAAAAGAAAGCATTTGAAAAAAGGCTGAAATGATATTGAAAACAGAACTCTGATTTAGAGATTGACAGTTTTTTTTAAGGTGGATGCCGATACGGATTATTTTGATAGTGTAACCGATCACCAATATCTGCTGCCGATGGAGCAGATGTTGCTTTTTCTATCTCCATTTACTGATAAAAATTACATCATGATAACAAAGGTTATCATGATGTAATTTTTTTGTAATCTCTAGGTGCACAGTTTTTTATTGGTAAACATTTTATAGTGCAGAACTTTATTGTTTATCTTTTAACTCTTCACTAGCATGTTATTATTATATTTTTCTAAGGTCCACATTTGTGTGATAATTGTTTCTATAATCTTTTTGCAGCTGTAAATACCAGAATTTCCCCATTGTGGGACAATAGAGGGATTTTCTATTCTATTCTATTCAAACGTTAAACTACAAACAAACATATTTTAATAAACTAAACAAAACAGGGAGCAGCAACACATACATTCCCCCTGATTTCAAGGCATGGCTGCTGAATGCACACAGGAAAAAAAACTGCTTAAACCGACCAAATATATCTGCCAGCCGATGTTTCGCTACTTTTATCTATAAAATCTATATCCTGCAGCTAAACTTTAGGACTTTTTTTTGTGTCCATAAGGTTTGTTAGTTACAAAAATCCAAACGGCTCTCTCAATAAAATAAAAAAAGGTTTCTGTAACACTCTATACCATGCTGCATATCAACGTTTGAGGCAAATCCTGACTAATGGGAACCCAATCTTATCTAAATCTTGATCCAACAATTCCTAATTTGTGCACAATAATTATGTTTTTAATTAACAAAAATGTAGCTAAAATTCCATCAGATTGCTTATTATATTAAGTGTGTCATAACCCCTTCTCCACCCCCCTTTGGTGTCCATATTGGATCAGTCCATTTGCTGCACATGTTCAGAAAGGTCCAAACAGACAGCAGCAAACCATTTAAAAACAAAGAGCAGTGTTGCCAACTTAGCGCTTTAGTCGCTATATTTAGCAACTTTCAGACCCTCTATTACTTTTATTTCAAAAAAGTGCCTAGTGCCAAATCTAGGGACTTTTTCTGCTACTGGAGGCTCTGGCGACAACATCTAAAGGCAGCGAACTCTGCTCTCCAGAGCGAGTAGATTGGTAACCCCGCCTCCTGCTCTCCTCTATCTTGTCTGCTGTCATGATTCATGCAGCTATTATTT